TGATCGCAACGCCTTCTACTTCTCTATCTACACACATACTTGGGATGCGAACCTTTGCCTCAATTCGAGATGAATGTTAATTCTTTCTCAGATATTCCTGATAGTGTCGTCAAAACATCGCCGATCAGGACAGACCTTGAATTCGAAAACTTTCATTTCCAGGTCGCAAAAATTCCCATCACAGAAGTCCGAAGTAGAATTGGCAAGCATACGTAGTATACTTTCAATAAATTCTCATCAGGCCATTACATTTATATGGGAGGGGGGAGGTTAAATATTGCGAAAATTCCCATCACAGAAATCCGAAGAGTAATTGGCGAGCATACGATACTTTCAATAAATTCTCATCAGGCCATTACATTTATATGGGAGGGGGGTACCTTTCAATAAATTCTCATCAGGCCTTACATTTATATGGGAGGGGGGGTTAAGTGTAAAAGGTAAAATTATGCTCAAAGTGACAAGCAAATTAGTCCAGGGGATAGAGGAGGGGATTGGGGTAGTAACAGACGGCTAATTAAGCGGTAATTTCATTGCCATTATTTATGTTTAGTAATGAGATTACCTGTTCAAATCCTACTCGTTAGTTGCGCAATTTGGAAGAGGTAGGCAGAAGAAAACAGCACGGCACATGTCGAAAATTTACACACATCACCTAGTTCACCGTAGTCTTCAAAAACAAGCTATGAAAATCAATGTTTAAGCCGAAAGATCTTCGCCAGGAGGGTTCCAACGCCATATAAAACACGCAAAACCGGTAGATTTTGTAATTTTATCTAAAAGATGACCGACCTCGGACTGGGCCATGGCTCGTCATCCAACTTTAGCCCAAGTCCATATGACACGGAAAATTCAATGAGAAAACCCTGGCGTTGGAGACAATGCTTTGGTCCTAGTATTGCTGTGATTACTCTGCCAAGCACTGGATGCTCCGTTTTGTCTCATGTCGGTGCAAGTCTCTGGCAGAAATGACACCCATGGGTGTAGTAGGAAATAACCGTAATTTTCGCCTCCTCCAAGGGGGCGCAGTTCGGTCGGTCGTATCCTTAATTTTACCCGGTCAGCGTTAGTTTCGGCGTTCGACCTACGACGATTAATAAGAAAATGGTGTCTTATATTCTCGAAAAGCTGGGTACACGAATCAGTCCACAACATCGAGCAATCCTGAGCACTTGGGCCGCGCGTTGGTCCCGCCCCCAAATTCTACAACCTCGCGCCCTTTA